GTCGATTTTCTGAAGTGTTTGAAGGACTATTTATAGTCCAGAATTGCCCAGCGTAAGCCTAACATTTTTATACAAGTACGCCTGAGTATTCATTTTGAGTCTTACCGAATGTGAGTGGGTTTAACCCACATTTGTCCACTTTACTCACAGCGTACGGAGTGAAGTCTTGTTTAGCTTACTGTTTTTAGACGTTCAATTCAAGATTTAGAGGAGTGCTACAGTAAGTAGCTCAGAAGTCTGTAAGCATTTCCTATAGCCACCGGTTAAAGTAGATTTGTAAGCTCCACATAAAGTAGATTTGCCAGCCATGGAACATTTTACAGTGTCCTTTCAACATTCCCGCATTGAAAACCATGAGATTTCATAATCTTACGGTCGTAGATGCCAGCCGTATAAGTCAAACGTAGGGTGCTAGTGAGGAACCCTTTCTTGCGTATTTCCGTTTGCGAGACGATATTTATTACTGCAACAATATCTACAGTTTTTCCAAGCGAGCACCTCGGTAGGTCGATTAATAATAGCGTCTAGTTGAACTTCGGTTTAACATTCGAAACATAGTACGGTGTAGATCATTAAAAAAATCTTCGCATGCCACTTGTCTAATATGGGTATATAGATCATATGGATTTAGCGCATGCATTAAATGACCCAGACGGTTAACTGTAATTATATACGTCAGGTAAACAAACGAACATTTAAAAGGACTTTCCGTTTCTGCTTTCTAATGCGCTGGACAAAGGCTCGAAAGTACAGGTAAAAGCTGACGGCACGTAATTTCATTGTGCGGCACCTGTATATAGATCATCATATGAATAATACAGAATACATTAAATCGTAAATTACGTGAAACACGTAGCTGAAGTGCTTACGCTACCAATCCTATCAGCAGATATAATAGATTTGAATGAAGTAACGGATTCTTTCTGCTATAGCATTTCGTGAACAATCAGAAATTGCCGTACAGCTGGACTTCAGAGGGTTGATGTTGTCAGTGAAAATCAATTAGCTTTCTCTGATCGAATCGGTCGCATTTTAAATTAGTACGTATATGTATATAACTAGGCCCTGAGCCATTACTCTAAGTGTCGTTACTGTTGTCACTGGGCAACACTTTCAAGTTACATGTTAGTTGTCCTTTTACCACCAGAGCACCATCTGGTGAAGCAATAACTTAATGCGTTAATTCTTATAACAATCTATGCCCTTTTCTAGGGGACTATATATATTTGGACCACAAGACGGAAACATTCGACACTGTATTAGCATAATTATGTCGAAAGCGAATTCGCCATTTACTTCACTCGATGGACGGGCTTTTAACTTAACTAATATAATAGTAGTGTAACCCAAGAGAGAAAAGAGAAGGTAACGGAGTTAAAGTGAACCCTGAAGTGCTATATTTAGTAACCGAGATTTTGAACGTTTGAGGTCACGAGGGTTTCGTAAGGTAATTATAGGAAAAGTTCCGTATTAACAATTTCTAACAGCTCCTCAAAACGCTGCTAAACAGAGATCTACCGTAGAAGGGATATTGAAGAGTCAATTAAGCCTTTTTATGCTGTGATAAAGGAATATAGTGGAGATCGAGGGTGAGCATGTGTAAGCGAAGACCGGGGATGTAGAGGGCAGGCTAAAAGCAAACGGAGCATATTGCAAGAATTAGAAAAAATTGAATTCTGATGAAATAGTTGGTAAAGGTGTATATAGGTGATCATCGACGATCCGCAAGGTTTACTCCTGACATTATTGTCATATGGCTGTATCTGTAAAACAAGGCTTATTCAATAATTTATGTAAAGTAAATTTAGGTTCGTTCTAGAATCGCATTAGTTGACATCACAATAGCATACTTCAATTGAGGCGTTACGTTCTGGAAGGTTATGACGAATGCGATTCAATGCAGATATGTTGTTTATCGCCTTCGGTGTCAAACATCCTTAATGTTTTGAGTATTACGTTCGGTATCATCGTTAGGTATACATACTTCCATTAGACGGTTGGCTCCTAGCATGAAACGAAATCCTGTCTATGCCCGGTTCCGGACCTAGACCACAACCTGTCCCTAAGATAAGTAGGTAAATATGTTACCCACGGGGATTCGAATTGGCCGCTACAGTCATTAAGTGCGCTATGACGGAAGCAGTTCTCTCTTACGACGTACTACTCTACAATAACTCAATAGTAAAATGCTCACTTACTCTATAAGAGTTACTAAATTTGCATGCCTTATTGTGAGAAGAATTGGCGTGCATTTCATCACACCTCAGCTCAGAACAGCATTCCAAAAAGTTTCAAAATATTATATTAAGCTCGGGTAATACTCTGATAGTTACTGATTATACGATTGATACTCGTTTCGTAAGCCATGCTTCACTATACCTTCGCCTTTTTCTAAAGCAGAATCAATCAAGCTATTTCAACGTGTCTAGGTGGAGCTGACACTTGCCCCGCGCCATATACGTTACATAATTCAAATACAAATAAAAAAGTAAGTAGGACATAGGGGAACAGTATATTTCTGCCCATAAGCATGTGGCACATGCGAATGTAGTAGTAACGATGGGCGCGCACATTCCAAATAGTCTAAACCCAATACGGAGGACAGCGGCCCAGCTAAGTTCACCCTAGTGTCGCCACATGCGCTCGGCATAATTTGTAAAATAATGAAAGAAGGCTTGAAGGAAGGCATCAGGTGAAGCTCAAACTAGCAATACGAATGAAAAAAAAAAGCCACTGACATAACAAGTGGAATATTGTACGCTAAGGGCGTGAGCAATATAAGACGTCCGAAGAACTATATAATTTTTCAAAGGGGAAGGTAAGGAACGGACAGGAAAAAATAATTTCATCGAGATTGCACAAAGAGATCATGGGAATATTCGCTTTTAATAGTGTACCATGTAGTTACTTTAGTTTAGTGACTTCAGGCCTGATTTTTTGATCGTAGGGCTCGGATGCTGCATCTGAGGAACGTACTACATTCAAGGGAAAGCATTGATGCCTGACTGGCGCTTTCAGCCATTATACTTGCATCAAGTCAAGATCTAACAGTCTATCTCATAAGCGATTGCTTCTCAGGAAATCCCGTCAAGGAGTTGGCCAGAAACGTATTGCGACAGAAAGCCCTCGCGCAGAGGAAAGCACTGAATGTAATTTACGCAATCAACGCTACAGCCTAAGACGTACTACCGAGAGAGACGTTCAAGTAATATATCCCAGAAGGATTTTGATTATTATCGGTGAGATTTCCCCACTACCGCTGCCGCGAGTGTCTCAGCCGCAAAGGCCAGATGTTAACAAGGCATAGCGCTTATTTATTAAAGAACTGAAACATTGAATAGCATTGTTTTGAAACTGGAAAGAAGATATGCGGACTATGTAATAGTGAAGCATAAAAAACTATAGTGCAGTAATAGTAGAGGTACTCGCGACGATTTACGAACATCAGACTATGATACGAGCTGATGAAGAAACGAAACGGTTGCTGAAGAAGCGAGTGTATAACATACCTTTTGGTTATCGTACATAGCCATCATATGGTATAACTGTGAATAATCAAGACAATCACTTAGGTCACAGGCAGCGCTGATAACACGTATCCTATGTTTTATAGGGGTCTTGAACAGGAAAATAGATACGGTATAAGGTGTGCAAAGCATTCGCTTTTCGGATAACGTGTATATGATGGAATAAGAAACTTTTCCTTAAACTATAAGCCCAGCTTTGATACATATATCACTTTTGAATAGTGTATATCGGGAAGATGTCGGACGTTGCCTTGGTTACTACCAATGGGTGGTTACCTATGGCTACTATGCTATCGCCAAGGGCTCATCATAGCAAGCTAATCTCATGCCTTTGAGGGAAAAAGAAGCCAGCTAGTTCATTAAATCGGCTATTATGCTTCTATCTATCAAATTTAAACGAACTTTTCAGATGCGCAGTATCAGGAATTTCGAAATAATATACTATTTTTTGACAGAGTTTGAATGATACGGTTCACATATGACCAATACTTCCAGAGCATTTTTTAGCAGATGCATCTAGCATTCTCAGCTATTCGCTCTATGTGACCGAGTCTTTCGGCTTCACTTTTTCGGCTATAGAACCAAGGATTTGCCTTCACTAAAGGTCTAGTTAAAGAGGATATTACTGGGTTTCTTCAGTAGACGGTATGACAAGCATACAAACAACTATTCATCTTAATAATAATTCGTTCTGTCTTTTTTTATTTTAATTTCTCTTATTTTTTCTAAATACCGTATTTTCCTAATCATTGAGTGCCAGCATGCTTATTAACAATGGCTAACGTAGCAACATACTTGACAAGATGCCCATTAGACGCCCAAAATCACGCCGCCCCTTTTTAGGCCTAGTGTGGGCCAATCTTGATAGTTAGGACTTACTTCCGTCGAGACCATCACTCACTAATTCCCCTCTCGAGGTTCGCTCCGAATCAGCTCTTCATTATGTAATTCCTATGTTAGGCGACACCTTATGAAACTGATCGGGCCTTTTTTAAACAGAAGAATAGGCTTGTTTCAGTACAGACTAGAATAAAGAGATCGACTACTTACTCGGGAAAAAAAGATATCGGATACGTGAGTAGATTGATTTCATATTATGTCGTAGAAGTTTATAGTGTATTAACAGCACCAGAAAACTTGCAAAAGACTCTGGCTTGCCTTGCTAGATAAAGTACATGAGATACGAGCCTTATACTAAAACCGCACGGCAGTAGGATGGATATTTTCTACGCGGCTATCCTAATTGAAACGCATCTCAAATGAGGATATTCCAATTGTATATGCAGACGCCTTAAGCGTTGACTCCGTGGGCGTCTCCCTTCTAGAAGAACCGATTTTGGTTACATACTGAGCTATGTAAATGTGTATGCCTTTGTAGATTGATATGCAAAGTAAAAGTCGTATCACGGTTTAAAATTACCGCCCTATCAGCGGTTTCACGTCTGTAGTTTTATTGTTGTCCAATATGGCGGCCCCTTTGTAGGTGGGACAAAATTTATAAACAATGACTGCGAGATCACCAAAACGGAACTGATTCCTAAAAGGTTTGTGCTTGCAACTACAGGTCTAATTGGTTATCGGTGTAGCGCTAACAATAAATACTGCTCATAGCATCAACTTAGGTTCTTTGTATTAGGAAAACTAGGTGCGTGAATTGTTAAGCTGAAGACGAGTAGTAGGTACATTTCGAATAGAACTATGAATCAAATTCGATGAATTATATCCATGAAGCTTTCAAGGCCGTATCTGTGGAAGTCCATCGTTTGGGCTTCATGAAGTCAAAACGGTAACACATCTTCTCCCGCTAGTCGCGCAGTTTGAAGGACTAGCTTCCGCACCTCACAAAAGCCTTTTCACAAAAGCCCTTGGGTGTTTTGCAGCATTTATGCAATGCAATTATTAAAAGGACATGTAATAATTTTCACTTTTTTCGAAGAAAGGCCGACACGGGCAAACTAATGTTCGCGTTGTGACCTGTCGTACACCGTAATTCAGGCATCTTTGTCAACATCCGCAACTGAGATTATGTTATGACAAACAAACTCCCATACGTTTTTGTAATACCTTGTGATTTACACTATACATTTCGTTTGTATTTCTTTGGATGACATTTTACAGGGTCATTCTTGATAACAGGTCAGAGCCTAAAAATGTCGCAGATTAGGACAGTTACCGAATTAGTTGCTATGCTCTCGACGTATGATATATCTCAGCGTTACTTAAAAGCTGTCATGTCAAAAAAAACGATTGATGTTACGTGAATTTCTATGATCTCCCGCGTATTCCAAGAATATAGTTTGTTGATTCTGTTAAATGCACCGCTGACTCGATAGTCCAATATGTATTGTCTTTAGTGGCAGTGTACATTTTGGCATTAATTCTGCTTTCTGTAAAAAAAAATAACTGTTTATTTTTTTTTTAAATTTAAATCTCGAACACACAATTAGCGCCAGTATGGGCGCGAGACTGCATTGAAATTTTACTGAACCATTCGTTTTCGTCACCCAACTGAATTTAATTATATAGATTGATAATTCTGTCTCCGATCACATTTAAATACTTATTGAAAGGGTGACTCGAACTTACCATAGCATTGCTATATTGTATTAAGGCTTACTAGGCTTATAATATGAACGATGAATGATATCGTGGATCTAACTATCTGGCCCTGCAACACTCATAGCACTATTTCTCTTAATAGATTTTATGGGTATCGAAATTGACTTATTCCGAGTCAAAACAATATGTGCTAAATATTTATTACTATATTAATGTCGCTGATAGACATTGTACTGGGGGCCTACCGCCCAATTCTACTTTGACAAGCGTTTAGTTGTCAAACAGACTTAATCAAAAGTCTATTTTTGAGATATTTAAGCTTTAAGTTTATGGCTTTCCGGTAGTTGGGTTCAAGTGAATTGCCCCGAGCACTTCTGTCAGTATGCAATCCGCTACTATACGGACACAATTCTCGATTTCGTTCTAAAGATTCGGTTGCAGCATAGCTTACAACCGTACAAAGCGTAATAATACATGAAACATACACATACTTCAGAAGAAGCTATAAAAATTCTATAGATATTCGATTGTAAAAAAAAATAATTGTGGATTCGACTCATCAACCATGTAACCATATATGACGGCGTAAGTTTTTGTTGCTCCTGCTTGCATCTAGCTTTTGCGAAGTTAGAAATAAGAGGGGCCAGAAGTAAGCGAGCGCTAATGTGCTGGAAGAACCTTTAATGCGATTCGTATCATTATCTATTTACTTCGTGATAAAATATTAAAGTAAAGCAAAAATATTATTACCACGTATATGATTTATTCTTTACTTGTGCCAAATGATGAAATTTCCGGATCTCGGATTTTCAAAACAAGACAATGGAATAACAAAATCAAAACTACGGATTAATTTGTGCACAGAGAAATCGAATGATGAAAGAAGTACAGCAAGGAAACTGCAACTTAATAGAATAGCTACAAAGATTAGGACACGGGCTCAGCCTGTATAGGTTTGAGCTTGTTAATAGAATCGCGTGGGGTAGCGTTTTTCTATATATGCGTAATATAGATCGTGTGGAAGAAAGAGTCGGGTAAGCTCGTGTGCCTGGGAGTGTGGAGGTAAAAATTCACAGATAACATGCATATATTGTATATATATATATATATATATACTTGTTATAGACAGTAACATAACTCCAGAGAAGTAATTATTTCCAATTTTCATTTTACTAGTTGGTTGGCGACCTTGATGGGTAGGGGTCCTGCGAATAAGGGCAAGTCGGTTCCATCGAACTCTGCGTACGATATAATATAAAGAGCGAACGCACGTGCGCTCGCCCTTAACGAGTTTGCCATTCCTGAGCAAAAACGAAGAGCACATAATATGTTAATATTTTGTTGTTACAAAATACCTTTTTTATTTTTTCTTTTTTATTTTTATTTGACGACTACGGTCTGCATGGCCGGCTCATATAGTGTCTTTAGTTGATTATGCTTTCAAAGATCGTTGCGTTTGAATTAGTTGGGCTATCTTCACCTTCACACGCTACCGGCTAAAGTTAAACTTGTGGTTCACTTACCCATAGATGCCTTGACCTCTCAACTATCTAAGAGGCCTTAAAGAAACTTGGTTACGTCAAGTACGATAACGATGTGATGCTTTGGTCCTAAAGCTTTAAACCGATGCAGCCTTCTCGCTTGTATATAAAAACATACATGTATATACGACGATCTACCATTGCAATATAGTGATAATGTTTGTGTAAAAAAAAAAAAAATTCTGCTATATAGATGTTTTTATGTCTTGAATGATTAGTACTGGCATATTGTATTAAAATATTCACGATTATTTATCTCATGGGGCGAATGATTGAAAAAATTAAGTGTTCTTTCGTACAGTAAACGTCTCCATTACGATCCGAAGCGCGGTTCAGACTAGCGTCCGGATCTAGGCATATACATGAACCGTATTTATCCTTTCGACAACAAGGATATGTCTTAGAAGATGCACAATTTGAGTTCCGAATACGTAACAGTACCACATACAACGCAGGTCAGACGTCATCTCTCCATAACTGTAACATGCTAAGCCGTTGTGACTATTAAACAGAAACTTTTCTTTGCCCTCTTCCGGCCAGTGATTCGTTCGAGCGGCCAATAACAATGCGACTGTGATATTTCCGGAATATTTTTCGTAGTTCAGATACGACTAGAGTCGATTGTGGTGCATTTATTTTGAAAAACTGTAATACGGAAACGATATTATGATGTTAATTCTATCGTAAACGAACTTTGCTGCAAGCAGGGTTAAGGTCCGGAAGTGGATTGCTGCCATCATAGAGAACTCAATTTATGTTGTATTTATCTCATCGTGTTTAAAAGTTGTACTTATTGCCAGTCTAATTCACGTGTGATTGACGGTTATATGAAATATTAAATACGCCTAGTCTGACGTCCTGTACCGCCGCAAAACGTTCTATCAGACGGTGCGGCGATCATGTGTAAGTAACAGATCCAACTTCAATGATTCCACTACCTGAGGTGCTTGCACGGTTTATTGTTGATGAAAAAGCCTCTTAGCTCCTGATCAATATCGCATGTTTGTACCAACTGACAATAGCCCGTCGCGGCCATCGTATTAGTACCTTGAAAAACGGGTTGTTAGTTGCAAAAAACTATGTATAACGTATGTGCTAACTGTTTTAATTTTTTGCTTCGTTTCCTTGTGCTGTAGTACTATACCCCTTGCCTTTCAACACACGAAGAAAATGCCGTCGTTCTTTTTCTTTAACCCACGGTACATGAACGATCCACCTGCTGAATCGGATGGAGATGACGTTGACGCCCAAGATCTGGTGCAGCAAAATATGCTGCCTCCAGAGACAACACCGCAGCAGTACTTTGCATATATGACGACACAACACTTTCCTCCATACGTCTCGCCTTCATATCCCGGCGCTCCGCCCTACATCCCCCTGCCTTTTTCTCAACAGCAGCTTCAGCTACTACCGCTACCACCGTACGTGTCAGCACAGCAGAATTTCCTATATAGTCCAAGAACATCACGTCCGCCACAGCATCCTCGGCAGTCATACGGAGTTTCAACGTATATGGCATCCCGACGTAATTCAGCATACGGCGCCCCGCGACATCTGGCTATTTACGGTAGTCCACGACAGCCAGGACCTGCGAGGCCGCCACACCTGTCCAGTCCACGACACTCGTGCGGATCGCCATATCGGCTAGAGTACAGACGATCGCATCCGCCGTATCAAACACTACCACCTCCACCACAGCCGTTATCGTATATACCCGATGATGCGCAACAACAGTCTATTAATATGCAATATGCAACATCATATAGGATCCAACAAGACTGGGACAGACCAGAACTGTCGCCGTATTACATGACATCGTCAGACGAACCCCTGGATATGGGACCGCAATATGATGGACCTGGCGAAGAACCGCAAGATTTCGCCGTTGGTACGTGCAAAGAAACGCTAAAGGACGTGACCGACGAAGAGAGAGAAAAAGATTCAAGATCGAAAAGGAAAAACCTGCGAAAGAAAGTGAGCAAGATAAAGACTGATCAAGATCAGCCGAAGTCACAAAAAAAAGAGTCATCCGAGGGTTCGCTGTCCGAGTCGGAAGTGGTCAAGGAAGAGAAAAAAGTATCAAAAGATAATGAACAGCCATTTGTAGAAGCGAAAAAACCGCGTGATAGGAAGTCGAAAAGGAAGACCAAAGATGTAGAGAAGAAACCGAAGGATCCAAGAAGAACAAAGGATGTCGACAAAAAACCCAAAAACTTTAGGCGAACCAAAGATGTTGACAAAAAGCCGAAACCTAAACAGGAACCAGATGAGTCATAAACCGTCAAGGATGAATGACTAGTTGGAAATCGACACGAAGGCACCCAATCTATAAACACAGTGCGCGAAAGACGGGGTGTAACAAAGTTAAAAAGACTGCAAAATGACGAAAGCAGAGTGATTGGACTATCATCATGTACACTATAGGTGCTCTTCTACCCTTTTCTCATGTATTTAATTACGGATGGATTCAAATGTATTAAATGACTGCCGGTTTAACTCGCAGATTAACCGTTACACGACGTAAAATGTGTTCTTGTAGACGCTCTGGACACACTACGATATCGAATAACATTTTCGCATTAGATCGCTGACTTATTAGTGGAGCCCAGATGTAACTCGATCAACAGTGAGTTCTATAGTAAGCTCCGGAGCACAGTTCGCCTTTCGTTTTTAAGGTTGGGCGTCCCAAATGTATAACTGCACGGTACCAGGTAGGTATAGCGCATAAGATCTCGGATCAGTTTAATGCTCTCTTCCGGACGATCGGTTTTGATCTGTCGAGATCGCATCTGCTAAATCTGCATCTATCTTTCTTAAACTTTATGCCCTATTAGCTCGGCTAGGCATGGAGTACTAGCATGGATAGCAAAAAAGCATGGGTTAGCAGATCTCTAGACTGCGGTCATCTTGGTCTGACTCCCTACCATCAGACGCGCTTTATCGCGTACCAGCAAAATCTCACGGTACGTTCTGTGAATTCGACTTGTGCCAACCATTATTACCGCACCATTCTCGTACTTAATTGCTAATGCCAAAAAGTATTTCAATGCACTTTTTGCTAATAATGCTTTTTTCGAAGTCTTCATCTTTCGCATTTTTTCTTATCATCCCATATGTAACAAACAAGACCTTAGATGCCCACTTTTGCGGGCCCTCTTAAACCCACTCTGCTCCTTATTAGTTCAAGCACGTGACACATGGCTAGTGTACGGAACGCATCGTCTTCTGGGCCTAGTATGAAGCCCCCTCCACTTTTATATATTCAGAATATCGTACTACTGGCTGAGGAAGCCCCTCGGAAGAGCATTCCGTTCGTTCTGCCAGGCATGCAAGACTGTTTGTTGTGCATCTTTGTCAATGTTTCTTCTTATTTCAAGGGAAGGTTTGTATAGCAATGAAGCCGTTCCAAATATCGTCCAAACGAGAAATTTAAAGAGTGCTCCTGCTCGATATTCGAAAACTTTTTCTTCTTCTGAGCTATGACAATCAAGCCTGCTAAGCTTAGCAGCTCCTCTTGTGGCCTTCATCGTAGCTTCTATTGCATAACGTGTTCCTCTAATGGCCTTGTCAAGATGAATTCTAAGGTGTTTTGTTGTTTTCACCATATCTCTATCCTCTCCTGTGATTTTCGAGATACTTAAGTACACTTTCTAATATAGTTGGCGTCATTTCAAATCCGTTTCCTTCTATTTTAAAAGTGATTTTAAAAAGAGCTTTATTTGCATACCGCCCAAGCCTTCCTTTGCTCTTGCGATTATTGTAGGACAATTCGTAACTCTCACTAACTCCAGTCCACTCTCACTAACATGTCGTCTATGTATGTCCGGTTAAGCACCCTATGCTAGGCTTTACAGCAGCGAAAAATGTGCCTTTATGATAGATGGCCCGCCTCTTTCGACATAACATCTTGGCGTAATATATATTAAGAACGGCACAATGTTTCGTTTCTGGAGGCACTGAAGGATCGCCAAACAGTTCACTGCGTTTTTCTGGTCTAAAAGCACTATCATAATTAGGTCTTGTACGTGTGGAACGAACGCTTTCCCATCAACTCATACTGACCGTTAGGTAACAGCCTGTATTCTTCTGCATAGAAGAGAGATTGCGACTGGCCTCGACTTTCAGCCAGCAGATGGATCAATGAGCTTCCCCCCTTTGCTGAAAAAGAACTACCTCGCATAACGTCCGGAACACTGGAAACTCGTTTCTTCTGTTCCTGGCGACAGTTACAATACTCACCGGTAAACTTTTGAAGAGAATTTCAACAGCCGCTGCTGAAACTAATGGGCGCCTGGTATTTTACTTGCTTTTATTCGTTTTGCTGCGTTGAGAACTGTCTCAACGGTGACTTCAGGAACGTTGTCAGAAACTTGCTTCTACGTTCGCTTTGACTGATTTCAGAATCACTTCTATCGAAAACCGGGTGACTCGGAAAGAATTTTCCAGCCAGTTCATATTTTAACTTGCTCATATAGCTTTTCCTTCGTTAGGCTTTTCCTCATCGCCGTCTCAGCGGTTCACGGTTTCCTCAGCTTCTGTGTAAAATTTGTTCGATGCATCTAGCTTTTGAGTATTTCGTATGAGTATCGGCCCTTCGGCACTGACTACGGACATCGGCTGTACTTTGACTTCATCGGCTTTAGGACAGAACTGGTTGTCTTGTGCTTGGACGGATCGACGCTCCCTGGCAAGATCCCATTATCAGTTCCTGCAGACCTTCCACGTTTCCCGGTGCTCGATTTTGCTTAAGCGTGGTTTCATATTATGTTTTGGGAATGGTCTCTTTCGCCTGATTATCTGAGGCATAACACTCGTTTAGATTTTGGTTGCCTAGCAGATGAAGCCGTTTACATCGCATACTCGATGAAATGGTGGTCGTTGAAGTTTCCGCCAGAACCCTTTAATTATCTATTATGTTGGCGAAAGGTGTACCGCAAGTCTTAAAATCCATGTGTGATAAAATCATGTGAGATCCAAACACTGCCTCAGAAAGCAGAAACAGCGTTTTGGTTTTTTCCCGTAATCAGACCTCGTATGACTACCCATTTTAGAAATTCGAATTTGGCCAGATTTTCCATGCCTTAAGGCTGCATTGCAATTGCCTGAAATAACAGGAAACCATTTGGATTTCCTTGTCGATTCAGCCAAATTCAGACTAGTTCCTCAGCGTCCTATTCGAATTATTGTAGCATGAGTAAAATCAACGTATCATCTAAATAAGGCTGTCATTGCTCTTACATTAAAACATTCTGATAAACCAACAAACAAGATAAGTACAAGAATGGATCGACTACTTCTGAGCTATTATAACTTAATTTACAACAGCAGGCAAACCGAACCCTGGCGCGTACTTCGAATAACTATGCCAATAACGTTACCATGTTTCTACGCATACCGAAGGCTTCAATATTTTTCTAACACTGTCTTTTTTTTCTAACACTGGCTGTCTGTTCAAGTTATAACTTTTACTGGAAAGTATTGCCAAAAAAAGCTTGCTCTAATGAAAAGTACAGTCGATTCGTTTAAACTTACGATTTTGACTCATGCCCAATTTCTTTTCAGTCAACTTTTCAGCGGGCATCATTTTCTTTTAATGTATACTAATTTTTTGTCACAATATTTATCTATGCTTCTAACCGTTTATAGCCCATTTGTACGGTCGGCTCTCCTTGGTATCAAGAGAGATACACAGTGGAATCGTATAGCCAACGTACCCATCTATTTATCTAGTAAATTTGTAGCTTATAAACACATCACTTCTTCCTACATTAGATTATGTACTATAAGATATCTTGGCTAAGTATTGGGCTACTTCTTAGACTAAAGAATATCGCTCGAGGATTTTAAGTAATTACGCGCTTGAATTTAGTCAAAAAGCAATGAAAAGCGGTCATCTGATCAATGAGTTGATCTTTGGTCGGCTGTATGCAACTGGGGCTTTTTGATTTAACAATTGCGCTATACGTTTTGTACAGCACAGAATTTCTAGCCAAGTAGATGGTAGCGAGTCTGAGAGTCGATGCACCGTTCACTATTTCAACCAGCGTTTTGCAGGCCGCTTTCGACCTAACTGTGGATCCCGAATCGGCTTCGCAAAACGATCGGCAAAGACGCTGCTCAGAAGTACCAGTCCTGATTGGTCAGTTAGACGCTACTTCACTGTATTGAATAGGGCGAAGCTCATGAGAGAAAAGTGTTGCGGAGACTATATCGGGGAAAATTTTATGCATGTTCAATGGTTCACACTGCACGTAAGCAGCACGCGGTATTCGTCTTAAGTGATTTTGCTACGCATGCTAGTCTAGCTTTTAGTATGGCCTTTTAAGCGTCTATAATTTGTTTCCTTTTGGGTATCAATCTCGCTTTCAGCAGTAAGATGTAGCCGCTGCAATATCCATTATTACGTTATAAATTTCCTTCTGGCAATAGTAATTTTTGTTTAGTTCAGCTTGTTACCGTTTAGTGTATTGTACGAGGGTGAGATATGTAGCTTTTGCTTCGACGTCATTGACGTCCCCAAGAAAACTTGGTGAGTACTTACTTGCTTATCTTAGGGCCATGTAATGGTGTAGATTTAAATCCGAGCATAGCACAACACGTCATTTCGTGTTGGCAGCCTGTTGTCTGATGAAACGTTTAACGGTGATACCAGACGTAAAACTCAAAATATAGAACATCCGAAGTTATGGACCGTCTTTTTCAATAAAGCATAAAGATATACCCAATATCCAAGTCCGGCCTAATGCGCATACCTACGCATAATTTCAGTTACGAAAATCCGAAATATAACAGTGAGGTAACGCAAAAATGACAATAAACACTTAACCAGGGCTACAAGCAGACTTCACGGGTTCAGTAGCAGTAAGAGTGTCCTTTTGACAGCAATTTCGCCTGTTCGTTGGCGTCTTCTACTTTAGGCATTTATTTATTTATTACCTACCATTTTGAGCTTTACGTTATTTGGGGATTTGCCTTACGAAATTGCTAGAAATGTGTCTCAAACAATTGCAGCTTGGGCTTGGGATGAGATCGTTTGGTCGTTCTCCTGAAGGAATGGTATCCTTTTTTCACACGTCGCTACCATATTGTTAAGCTGCATTATGGTGGCAGTCACCAGCATTGTTGTAGCCACTTTAATGTAGTCAGGGATTAAGAGGTGCAGCAAACGAGTGTATCGTTACTGATTAATGTAGCAATAATTAAATAGTAAGCTACATAACATTTGAAGTAAGTGTATGAAGTCCCTTATGGTGATCATTTTGTGTCACCATAGCAGAGATGACGCGTATCATTAACCGATTCCAATTCGAAACGAGCTAGTTTTTTTTTACATCATTCATTCTCCTAACCAAATGGTACCTTTATCTTTAATATGAAGATGCAAGAAGGTTGTTTTTGACCTGGATACATGTTCCCACACCTAAACCTGAAACTAAATCGTTGAGAAAGCGGCGGACACCGCAAGCACAAACTTTTATTAAAAAAGTTCGGCTATAA